AGTCGGAATTTCATTTCTGCAAGTCCATTGGGTTGTTTTCAGCTTATCTTAGAAAGGAAGGTGTCTTAGTCCATTTGGACTGCCATAACAAAGTACCGTAGACCGAGTGGCTTATAAGCAAGAGACATTTATTTCTCGCAGTGCTGGAGGCTAGAAGTCTGGTGTCAGGGTGCAGCATGGTTGAGTTCTGGGGAGGCTCTTACCAGGTTGCAGACTGCTCACTGTACTCTCACTGGGTGGAAAGAGAATGAGAGAGATCTCTGGGGTCTATTTTACAAAGGCACAATTGCATTCCTGAGAGTTCCACCCTCATGACTTAATCACCTCCCAAAAGTCCCTACCTCCTGACACCATCACATTGGGGGTTAGGATTTCATCATATAAGTGTGGAAGGGGACAGAGAGAGACTAACACTCGGTCCATAACAGCAGGCAGTGACGATTCATTTAACTTTCTGCGTAGCTGTTCTCACTGTAGTAAACTCTCTTGTAAGTAGCATTTAGTCTACTTCTGCCCACTTTCTCAGTATTCAACAGGACCAGGTGAACCAAAGAATAGATTAAAGCCAGAAAATGTAAGGCACTGCTGCAGGCCTTGGCCCCACATCTTGCCCCCACTTGTCACCTCCCTGAATCCTGCAGGAGAGACTGGCCACCTCCGCAAACTAATGGGAGCAATATGGCACTTTTTTATGAAAAATGAAAGGCTGTACCAACAAATTATGATCTCCCAAGTATAGATGATAAAAAGACAGCTCTGCCTTGACATTTGCTTATCTTGTGGCCAATAAGAGCTGGCATTTGATTATACATGGGGCTATCTAGCATTCTGTGCCCTCCCACCTCCCTCCCCATCATCTGTTGTCTGATTGCTTTTAAATTCTACCTCTTTAAAATGCAGGAATATGGCATGAAGTAATCTCTCAAATAATTATAGTCACTGCATTTGATTAAAAATGTCAGAAGAAACTGGGAAAAAAAGGTAATTAATTAGGGTGGACCAACTGCTGTAAGAAACCCAAACTCTTGGTAACTTAACATGAGTAAGATATTTCTATTGCTCGTCTCACAATTTAGTCCTGTTTTGGAGGAGGAGGTGTGTGCTCTGCTCTATCCAGTTTTTCAGGGACACAAGCCCCATCCATTTAATGATCCACCACTGCTAGGGTCTCAGAATCCTCCTCTGGGTCTTCTACCATTGGTCAGGAACTGAGAGAAAAGGGGAAATTATGAAGAAGATGATAAAGGAAGTCCACTTATACTGTCTTTGGCCCAGAAGTGTGCACATCACTTCCATTACATTCAACTGGCAAGAAATGATCCCAGGCCCTATCTAAATACCAAGAAGCTGGGAACTACAGCTTGGCAGTATGCCGGGGAAGGCGTGAGCATAGAAATTGGTGAGTCCCAGCACTGTCTCTCCCACAGTAGAATAAGGTGAAATCCATGGGTGAGTTACAGGTTTTGAGTTACAGGTTTTGGTTATCTGTGTTAACAATTCACCTTTATCATGGATTTGGAAATATGTAGTTCCAGTTACTACTGCTGCATAACAAAACGTAGCACCATAAGCAACTGTTTTATTAAGCTTTCGGATTCTCCAGGCCCCAAATTCAAAATAGGCAAAAGAGGGTAGTTTGTTTCTGCTCCGTGATACATGGAGTCAACTGACATGACTGCACAGCTAGGGGCCGGAATTGTGTAGAGGGGTCTCCATACACACACCTGGCAGTTGATGCTGGCAGTCAGTTAGAACCTCAGCTGAGACTATTGACCCAACCAACACATGACCCTTCACATGGCCTGGACTTTTTCACAATAGAGTAGCCTCAGGGAGTCAAATTTCTTCTGTGGAAGCCCAGAGTTGCAAAATCAAGTGCCCCAGTGGACAGGCAGAAGCTACATTGCCTTTTATGATCTAGCCTCAGTCACTTCTGTGCTGTACTGGTCTAAGAATTCACAAGCCCACCCAAATTCAAGGAGAGGGGACATGGACCTGCATCTCTATGAGTGATTACCAAGGTCACATTGTAGAGGAGTATGTGCAGTGGGAGATATTGTGGTGTCTAATTTTGGAAAATATAACTTGCCACATATGTTATCTTATAATCACTAAATTTCAGTGCTTGAAAGGACTTTGTACCTTATAGAACAAAGGCCAGCAAACTATGACCCATTGCCTGTTTTTGTAAACAAAATGTTATTGAAATACAGCCACGCCTATTTTTCAGCAGAGTTGGGTAGCTGCAAAAGAGACCATGTGACCCACAAAGGAGAAAGTATTTATATCTGGTCCTTACAAAGTGTGCTGACTCTGTAGATAGAATATTGATTAAACACGTGGGCACTGAAGTTAGACTACTAGGTTTTATATCTCAATTCTGAAGGAAGCCATTTATGTAGCTTTGAACAAGCTACTCAGATGCCCTAGACTGCTATTTTTCCACCTATATAATTGGGGAAATAGTAGTCTGTCACTGAGTTGTGAGCATTAAATAATCTATGAACAGGGTATAATGAGCATTCATAAATGCTTACTCTCGTTATTAGCATTTCCTAGATCAGTTGTCCATCCAAGTCATATGTCTGTCTCCGGTGTGATCTACTGCAGATTTCAATACATTAGTGATACAGGAAGCCCATTTCAGCTTTAATCATTCTGTCTAGTAGAAGTATCTTCCTTCCAGTTGGTTGAAATTCTGTCTGCTTATAGTTGTATGCTATTAATCCTGGTTCTATCTCCTTGAGGTTCTACAAAACATCTCTTTCAAATATTAAGTTCTTCAAATATTTGAAAAGGGTTTCTCTGAATTTCATCTTATGAAGACTATACATCTTTTGTTCTTTCAATTGCCTCTTCTAAGACACAGTTTGCATTTTTTCCCCACTCTGGCAATTCCCTTTAGAAGGGAATATGCAATGACTCTTGAATCACACAGGGCTTTAACTGTGAGGGACCATTTATACACAGATTTTTTTTTTAACCAAACGCAGATTGAAAACAAGACAATCTCAGAATGCAAAACGCTCGAATGCAGACGGCTGACTTTAAGCCTTTAGTACAAGCAAGTTCAGTAGGGTCAACCACTGGACTTGAGTATGTGAGGATTTGGGTATACGTGGGGGCCCTAGAACCAATCCCTTGCAGATACCAACGGACAACTATTAAGCATTTACCCAGAAATTAGCAAAAGACTTCAGGTCTACAGACAGATCCAGATCCTTGGCCCCTAAATTCTCCGTACCATGCTGGTGAGGTGCATGTCGTGCTACTCAGTCTTTTTCCACCCCCTCCTGCTCTGGAAGAGTTCATTTCTTTAGATCCTGGGATGGGTCCTTATAGTAACCCTTTTATGTTTAACCTTATATGGCTTCAGGCTCTTGAGATCTTTCCAGGTAGTGATCCTGTATTAGAATATTCACTGCCCTTAGCAGCTTTACATCACCCATACACATTTCTGGTGTCTTGATCCAAATCACTAATAAATGTCCCATCAAATTGAAATAATACTATGAATAATCCTGAACTCAATTATAGTGGCTGGGTACTGTTTTAATAATATTGCCTTCCCCTGGGACTTCTTTTGACCTTAATCACTATTTGTTCAACCAGTCACATGTGAGGTGTCATGCCTCTTAAGGAAAGAACTTGGAAGCAAATATAAGTGAAAACATGAACATTTCTCTTTCTCTCTTTCAATATTACCCCTTAAAACAAAATATGTACTGGATTACTCCAGGGTCTCCAGAGAAACAAAACCGACAAAAGAGAGGGGGATTTAGATTAAGGAATTGGTTCTGGGGGTTGTGGAGGCTTGGTAAGTCCACAGTCTTTAGGGTGGACTGGGGGGCTGGGGCCAGAGAGCTTGCTGGCAGAATTCCCTCATGCTCCGCAGAGGAGGTCAGTCTTTGTTCTGTTAACACCATAAACTGAAGGGATGAGGCCCCCTCACGTTTTGGAGGGGAAGCTGTTTTACTCAAAGCCCACTGACTTTTTAATGTTAATCTAACCCAAAAACACCTTCACGGAAACATCCAGAATAATGTTTGACCAAATATCTGGGTACCATGGCCCAGCCAAGTTCACTCATAAAATTAACCATCACAGTATCTCTAGCCCTTCATCTTTTGCTGATTAGTCCTTTTATAGTAGATTGCCTGTTATAGAAAATCATGATTAAGTTATGTGTCTGTCTGAGTAGGTCCTCATGATAAAATTATAGCCATGACTTTTGTTACTATGTATGATTATTTTTTTACGATATATAAGTACAACCTCTTAACACATACTTTGAGTTTAATATTTCCTGAATCCACATCACCAACCAATTATTATCTGTACCTAAGAAAAGATCACTGCTGGGGAGAAGTGAGAGGAAAATATGACTTTTAAGACTAGCACTGCTGTAAGTTTCAGAATCTAGATAAACTTAAAGTGTGGATATGTCTGTGTTCCTTAATTCATCCACCTATTTTAGAAATTCCACTTTTTACATTTTAAATATTTAAATTGACACTTTAAATTCCAACATTATTTCTTCAAATGATTCCACAAAAGTATCAAAACAAATATCTATATAAATAAGATGTCTAAGCATTAAATACCAGCTCAGTAGAATATTTGTTATGAAATTCTACTCGAATTTTTTAAAAGCCAACATATTATCTATGAAAATAAGATTTTAATGAACTGGTGTTTTTATTCTATACATTTATGAATCTAGGTTTGTAAAAATGTGATTTTCTTTCTTGGTTAACCATTTATAATAAATAGAAATTGTTGATTTAGAGACTTCAAGAGATTTTGAGATGTTTTATAAATTCTGCTAATAATTCCTCTTTTTAAAATTTAATTTTATTGTTTTAGAGACAAATTCTCACTACATTGGCCCAGGCTGGACTCGAACTCCTGCGCTCAAGCAATCCTCCTGCCTTTTGAGTGGCTATATACTTCCTTGTGTGAAATTCACTGTTCTCTTTTGTTATACTTTCCCCCTCTAGGTTTGGATGTGTGGAGGAGAAATGTTTGATGTTCCGTGTTCCAGAGTTGGTCACATCTACAGAAAGTACGTCCCGTACAAAGTTCCATCTGGCACCAGCCTGGCGAGAGTGAGTAACTCGGGGTCAGACCAGGTTGGGCGTGGCGCGGCTGTGTGCAGGCAGAACAGTCAGCCTCGCACACCGTGTGGCGTGAGGCACAGTCTCACAGACACCCTTTAATGTGTTGCTCAGGGTTTCGGTCCCATTGCTTAAGGAAGTATTAACCGTCATGGCAATTCTTGTCATGAATTGTTGCAAAGCATTTTCACACGCTTATATTTAATCTTCACCATTACCTTCTGAGGTTGGAACTCTTTATCTCCTAAGCGAGAAAATGGAGGAGGTTTAGCGAGGTAACTAACTTGTTATGCTCACGGGAATGATAAGTAGCAGAGAAAGTCTACAAAACAGGGGCCAGTACTCTTCTCCCCACACGGAATGCAACGGGATACGTGGTAAGTCAGATGCAGAAAGGGGTGAGGGCAAGATGGGAGGAGATGGGTGCCCCAACTCTGTCTGCTCATTTGTAACCAGGGCTAGCTCTGCCTAAAATTTTACTCAACCCTCAAAATTCTAAAAGTGGCCGAGTCTAATATTTTCCCACATTTTCTTTTGAATAAAACCTTTCTCATAGACCAAGTGCAAGGATGCTTTTCTCTTCTGCCTTTTACAATGTTTTCGTACATGTCCAGGAGGACATAGTCACAATACCGTCTCCAAACAGTCCTGACAACTTCTCTGTTTTCCATGTTCTGTTTCGTGCTTTATGGCCTGGTTGGTTTCCTTCACCCCAGTCTGCACCTGCAGCTGCTCAGATGCAAATCAAGAAAAAGGGTATTTGTACCATATCTCTGTGCACAGTGCTCTCCTGGGAACCTAATCCTAAACTCTTCATTTTGGTCATTTTACTAGGAGGGCTACAATATGTAATTATTTGAGTCTTTCATATAAAGCTCAATAAGCGCACACAACAAGCTTTTGTAAAACAATGAACAAACTAATCTGTCAGGATCCAGTAGAGTAACAGTAACACAGGGCACAGCTTTTTGTCAGTGTTATTTTGTGCTCTCTTCCCAACACCTAAAATGGGGCTTGGTGGCACTCAGACATTTGTTGAAATATTAATTAATCAGGAAAAATAAGAACAGAAAGTACTGTGAGTTTAAGTTGTTACTAAAACGTAAAACACCTTAATGACGTATAGTAAAATTTCCATTTATACTGAATCTTCTTTGGAAGGGATTATTCTTCCTTGTGCCCTTTCTGAGATTAGTGGTCAACAGTGCCCATTTTTCTCAAGTCTCATTCATAATCTCAAACAGCAGTTGGAGTTTACAGTAATGTTGTTAGATCACAAACACCCTGAAGGGAAATACAGGCTGAATATCCCTTATCCAAAATGCTTGGGACCGGAAGTGTTTCAGATTTCAGATTTTGGAATCTATGCATATATATATGATGAGCTATCTTGAGGACAGGACCCAAGTCTAAACATCATATACACTTTATACACATATCCTGGATGTAATGTTTAATAATTCTGTGCATGAAACAAAGTTTGTCTTAAGTACTTCCGTGTGGAATTTTCCACTTGAAGCATCCTGTCAAGTGCTCAAAATGTTTTGGCTTTTGGAGTATTTCATATTTTGGATTTTCAGATTAAAGATGCTCAACCTGTAGTCATATTTATTTCTCCCTCCCCACAAAATTAATTAGGCATTAATAATCTATGAAGGTAAATGACTGAACAATTTTGACACATATCACAAATCAGCCAGGTAGATACCGTAAATCATAGCAGTTTAGCAGTTTGAAATTCCCTAAAGATAATGATGCTCTGTCATTTCCCCACTTTCACTCACTCACACGCTTCCCTGTTTGTGCCCTGAAATGAACCCTTGACTTGCAAGACGTGCGCGTACTTGGTTTATAGTCAGAGTGGAGTGTAAAAGCTGGTGGGGAAAGTTGTGCTGATCTAAAAGGGGTTGTTTTCAAGAAATAAAACTGTTCATGTATTTTCAAGAAAGAAATTAAGTACTTTTTCAAGGACTGTCAAATATAGGGAAATGAGGGCTGGCACATAAAACTTCCAGGAAAAAAAAGTGAGCATTCATTCAAATGAAAAAAAACTCCATAATTCTGAATTTTAATCTTTTCCACGCAGATTTTACTTGAGGGCTCATTTTTATTTATTTTTTTTCCTCAACTGCTAGAGCAATCAGAAAGTCATAAATATTGAAGCTCAACTGTCACTCAGGAATGTTTTAGGATTTTTTTAAGTAAAAAATGTATATTAAAATGAAAAACAATTCTGATATTTTGTGGGAGCACCTCAACTACTTTGCTACACCCTACATTATTACTAAATCATCAGAAATGATGAGAGGATTTAAAAATGCTTCAAATGCAGGGCCACATCTACTCACTTGGTATTTTAATCTTTCAGCCTTATTAGAAAATGGAGATGAAGGTGGAAACTTGACCCCAAAGGGTTGTTTTCTTACTCTGCAAAACTTGTCTACTTCTTCAAAAGTGTGCACCAATTTACACACCTATGTAAATTGATGATTCCAACAATCCTCCAAAATATACACACAAACACACACGTGTGTGTGAACAGCCTATAGTGCACTAAACAGCATACCAGTGTATCTTACAGAAATAAATTCAAATAATTAGTTATTCAGTACCTTCTACATTATATTTTTACCTAGCATTACAATCTGGTTGGAAGAGACAAGATAGCCACATCTGAAACCACTAGAGGACAATACAGCACAATGAGTAATTAGGCCGGGCGCGGTGGCTCATGCCTGTAATCCTAGCACTCTGGGAGGCCGAGGCGGGCAGATTGCTCGAGGTCAGGAGTTAGAAACCAGCCTGAGCAAGAGCGAGACCCTCGTCTCTACTATAAATACAAAGAAATTAATTGGCCAACTAAAAATATATAGCAAAAATCAGCCGGGCATGGTGACGCATGCCTGTAGTCCCAGCTACTCTGGAGGCTGAGGCAGCAGGATCCCTTGAGGCAGCAGGATCCCTTGAGCCCAGGAGTTTGAGGTTGCTGTGAGCTAGGCTGACACCACGGCACTCACTCTAGCCTGGGCAACAGAGTGAGACTCTGTCTCAAAAAAAAAAAAAAAAAAAAAAAAAGAGTAATTGTTCAAATGCATCAAAAAGAAGAGGAGGGGGAGGTGGTTCCACAGCTGTGACCTTCTTCGGTCCTGTCAAGTTAAAGGACTTGAAAGAGGACCCACAAGGACACCTAAATTAAATTACAAGTTTCATAGAACAGTGATTCCCAAACCCAGGACCAGTGACCAGAGCCAATTTCTGGCCAAGTCTTCACCCAGCCTCAGTAAACTGAGAAAAATAATAATCACAAGGCTAACTCTGTTCAATTTAATAACATCCTTCTACATAGCAATTATAGGCTTTTTTTTTTCTTTTTTTTTTCTTTTCCTATGACAAGAGACACGACAGTAAATTTTTGCTAACGCCTTTATTGGGCAAAAGCAACAACTGGCATCACTGTATCATTTCCCACAAAATGCAAAACTCTGGGACACAGTGGCTTCATCTAGGGACCGGAGTATTCACGTGTCATTGATAAACCTAGATGTTTTCAGAGTTGACCCGGGGCCCAATGTCAGTACCCTGGGCACAGCAAGGCCCTGAGTGTCGGGGATGCTAGTCTCTAGGACTGTCGGGAGACCAGAAAGACACCAGGGCCGTGGTGACAATTGTCCCCTCGTCGGGACGGCACTGATTGTCCTCCATCACGGAGGAGTGGGCAGTGGCCGAGTGGCAAATGAGTGGAAGGTCTCAAAGAAGGTCCTTCACGCGGAGCCAAGCACTCGGCCAACGGAGCAGTAGTGCCTGGCACCTGGGGGGAAATTCACAGACTCCTCTAAGGGTGCCCGTGCGCGTGGGGGCCACCAGAGCCACTGGACCTGAGACAGGTGGCTCTAAGAGCAGGGACCCGCCAGAGGTGCAGAGCAGTCGCCATGACTGAACGTGCACACGGTAGTCCTCGCGGGAGCACCTTGGCGCACGCGCACTTCCCCAGGAGGGCGCCACGCCGCAGGGGGGCTCCCCGGCCTGCAAGCGGCCCTCCGGGAAGCGCGCACACAGCGCCCCCTAGTGCCCGTCGGAGACAAGGCTAGAGCCAGCCCTTCCCCCGAGTCTGTAAGGGACATTAGCGAATGCGAATCGGGGGACTGGATACTTCTGCCTTTCACCTCTGATGTAGCATCCATAATTTTTTTTTATTCTAAAATTTCATCTTGCATTTTATACCAACTATTCAAGAGCGTGGGAGAATTTAGGTGTTCTTCCAAGTTCCGAGATAAGAGCTGAAACCAAAGAAGTCAAATCCCATAAAAGTCAAATTTCCCAGGCTAATTCCTGTTTCCTGAAAATGTTAACTCACAGCGACGGGCTTAGAGGTTAAACGGTGCGTGGGCAGAGGTGGGATTATGAACCTACAGCGTTATTTTACATACGCAGTGATTTTGACAGATTATGTCTAATGATCCAGTAGGCTACACTAGTCTTTGAACAAGTTGCACGTGTACCTGGCTTCGTGTATTCACTTAGGGCTTCTTGGCTGAATGTCATGACCTTTGAAGATGCCCTGTGGTTACTGTATTTCGTGGGCACAAGGGCTGCGTGTCTGAGGTCTGGTTGTGTTGTCTCTGTCAACTGTGAAACGACTTCTTAATACACTTCCCTCAGCACCTTTCTTCTGGGGCCATCTCCCTGGTGGCATGCAGCTCGGCTGACTCCAGTGATCACCTCAGACTCTCCAAATTGGTGGGGGTGGAGAGGTGTGGGAGGAGGAGGAGGAGGAGGAGGATCTTCCATGCAGAAGCCAGACGCTGCCCCAAGTCGATGCATGAATGCTTCTTCACTGCGGACGGTGGTCTGGGCCGTCCCATTCCGATACAGCTGCGAGGGAGAACACAACGTCTGCCTCACAGCTCGCCCTCGCTCATGTCAGAAAAATGTGTCAGTCGAGGAAAAGCGTTAACAAGCCCAAAATGACTAGTCTGAGATCTGAAAATAAA